GATCTAGAACGACATCCCCCCCTCCTCCTTCTCTTCGGATTCGGATTGCTGGTGACGATGAGCCCTCTGCAGCAACCTCAAAATCATAATCAGCAGCAGCAGCAACCTGAGGTTGCTGCTGCTGATGATGATGGTCGTTGCAGAGGGCTCATCGGCCGCAGGCCCTCGGGAGGCGGACCCGCGATACAGAGCCAGGCTCGGACAAGGAGACGGATTTCAACGGCCCTGATGGGTCCATTCGTGTGCTCGTGGCGGTGGAGGACTTCGTGCGTTGGCACGACCAGTCGCGGGTGGGCAACAAGCTCGAGCGCGCAGATAGGACGTGCGCAACCCGAAGGAGGCCGACCTGCTGAGGTACGAGGCCGAGCTCGACGACACGGACGCGCGGGAGAGCGACCTCATGAAGGCCACGACGGGCGGCCTCAGCTCGAGGGCGGCGGTCGGCGCCAGCACCTTCCTGCAGAGTAGGCGGAGGCCTCCGAGCGAGATGGGCGATGGCGACGGCGAGAGGAGCAGGTCTCGGAGCCTCGGGCAGCCCACTGAGCGCGCAACGCCCGCGGGAGGCAAGCGCGCCAAGGCAGGCGGCGGCGAGAGCGGCAGGAAGCGCGGCCAGGAGGACGACGACTGGAAGAGCAAGTCTGGCACTGGCACTGGCTCGAAGCGCACGAGGCAGGACGATGTCATGATTTCTGGTGATTCCGACGTGGGCGATGGATCTCTCGGCTCGGATTGCAGCGACAGCGACTGCCGCAAGGGCGCTGCCAGGTCCCGTCGGAAAGGCGGCAAGAGTTTCTCGGACGAGGCCGCCCAGATCGTTGCGAAGTTCCAGAGGAAGTTGACCAGATGCACGACAGACTGGGAGAGCCTCAGCGAGCAGGCCGGCCGCGCCCTCACGGAAGCGGAGCCCGAGATTACCACGTCGTCCATCGCCATGTTGGCCAACAACGTGGTGAGCAAGGGCTGCGTGAACCAGGCAGTCTTCCACGGCGAGGCTGAGGACGGCCCCTGGCCATCCTTGGGCGAGGTCATGGGCGCGGTGTCCGACAAGGACGTGGTCGCACTTGCAATCGGGCGCGTCGGCAGGGGCGAGCCTGTGAAGGACGTCAGGGGGTGGGTGTTGCACGCGCATGTACATCTACTACTACTACCACGACTACTACTACTACTACTACTGCTACTACTACTATTACTACTACTACTACTTCTACTTCTTCTACTACTACTACTACTACTACTACTACTACTACTACTACTACTATTACTACTACTACGAGTACGACTACGATTACGATTACGACTACGACTACTACTACCTACGTGTACTATTTCTACTACTACTACTACTACTACTACTCTACTACTACTACTACTACTACTACTGACTATTACTGCAGCTACTACTACTACTACTGCTGCTATTCCTACTACTACCGCTCCTACTATTATCACTACTGCGACCTCGGCCACTGGTAATACGACTAGTTTTAATATTACCTTGATTACTATCACTACCACTATTATTTTACCGCTACTACTGCGGTTACTACTAGTATTACTATTACCACACATAATCACACTGCTCATACGACTACTACTACTACTACTGCTGCTACTACTACTACTACTTTTACTACTACGGCTACGGCTACGGCTGCGGCTGTTACTACTTCTACTACTACGACTACTACGTGGTAGCTGTTATTACTAATGCATCTCCCCTCCTCCTCCAACCGCTGCTACTACCACGGCTACGGCTACTGCTTGCGTGCCGCACCCCCTGCCTCCCCCTTCGTACTCACCATCCTGCATTGCCTCGTCCCCCGCCACCTCCTGCCCCCTCGCGCCCCCGCCCCCATGCCCCATGCCCGAATCTCCATCGCCTCCCCCCTCCTCCCTCCGTGCCGCGGGGCAGGGAGGATCGCGTCACCTCGAAGTCCTTGGTGCAGTACTTCCAGTGGTGCAAAGACTACAAGAAGCGCAACCTCCCAACGGGCCACGCCTCCATGCGGTCGGTGGAGGCCATGCAGGTGCAGCTGAGCGAGATGGCGTGTGCGGTCTGCGTTTCTTGTGCTGCCTATATGTTGCCACCCGCTCGTCTGTCACCTCCGCCAGTCCCCCACTTGCCCCTCGACCCCGCGCCCCATGCGGCTTCTCGGCCCCGCCAGCACCGCGCCCCTAGACCCCTCGACTCCGCGCAACTGGGCCGACCGACGGGGGGCGGGGTCGGCGGTGCCCAGGGGCCGAGGGGCCGACGGGGTCAACGGGTCGAGGGAACGATTGTCGATGTGCGTCGATGGTCGAGGCGCGGGGGTTGCAAGGTTCGAGGGCTGATGGCGAGGCGCGGAGGCTACAATGTTCGAGGGCTGTTGGGGTCCAGGGAGGATCCAGTGGCCCATCCTTCCGCTGCCCTCCTCCTCCTTCTGTTTCGCGTGTTGTATTGTATTGTATTGTCGGGGCCTTAACTGCAGCATTATGTTTCGTGTGCTCTCATTCTCTCGCTTCGTCTGCTGCCCCGTCTCCTCCTCCTCCTCATCCTCCTCCTCGTCATCCTCCTCTGGTTCGCATGCTCCTCTTCTCCTCCTCTCGCTACGTCTGCCCCCCTAATTTCCCCTCCCCGCTTCCCCTCGCCGTTCTTCGTCAACCTTTCTCCCACTCGCCTCGTTTTCTCTCCCGTCCGTGTCGCTGTACTTGGCGGCTCAAGCGCAATGGCAGCCGCGTGGCACGCCCACTGGCGCCTTCCCGCGGCCCCGCCTGGGCCCCCGCGCCCCGATGCGTTGCCATTCGCGCCTGGGCTAGTTCCCTGCGCCGCGGAGGCTCGTCCGTGGTGCCCTCCCCCCCGCGCCGTTGTTGTCGAGGGCGCGGGTGGGCCCCCCCCTCCATTTTGGCCCCTCCCCGCCGCGGCCGACGCCGCGGCGGGGAGGTGCCGCCCGCCACATTGGTGGAAAGGGTTCCCTGTCAGGCTCGGCGGCAATGGGGGGCCGCGAGCGCAGGGCCCATGGTGCCGCGAGGACCTCACCGCGGCAGGTTGCGCCGCGCGGTGCAAGCACTTGCCCCTCGCCTGGGTGGACCCCGACGGCACGTGCCCCGCTCGCCGAAACGCGCCCCTCACACCCCTAGGATCCCCAAGGGTAGAGTCCCGATTGTTGCCAGTTTGTGCGAGCGCTTTCGCGCGCGCGTAGAGGTACAACCAGACCTGGTACACCGTGGAGTTGCAGGGGGAGCCCCTCATCATGGCCCCTGCGCGTTGAAGGACCAACATTTCCGCTTGGTTTCCAACTCCCCCCCCTCCCTCCTCCGAGCCCTCATCAACGTCGTCCTCATCTCCCTCCTCGCTTGTTCCCGCCCTCCCTGCCCTTCCTCATTCTCATCCGACTCCTCCTTTCCCGCTTCCCCCTCCTCTTCTTCCTCCTCCTCCTCCTCGTCCTCCTCCTCTTCCTCCCCCCCCCCCCCTCCTCCGCCTCCCCCCTCCCCTCCTCCTCCTCCGAGCCCTCCTGGCGCTGGCCACGAATGCTTGCCGACTTGCCACCTATCTCGGTATCCAAGCAGAAGGGCGTTACCAAGCTAGAGAAGGTCATCGCCAGGCATGATGACGCGCTCTCCGAGGGCGTCAAGGGCTTCAAGACCATGCTTTCATCATTGGCGAAGGCCGTGGGCACGGAGAGGTCGGGGCGCGCTGCCAGGGAGCAGAAGAAGAAGAAGAAGGACGGCGAGGCGAAGCTCAAGACCTTCGTCAAGGATCTCCATCGGCGGGCCTCCAAGGCCGACATGAAGGCGCCACTCGGCCACGACTTCTTCAGCGCCACCTTCTCGCGCTCCCTGAAGATCACGGGGGGGCCCCTCTCGCAGGCAGGCGACGGCGTTGAAGCGGGCGCGCCTTTCTTCGTGAAGGACGTCCTTATCCCGTCCGCCCTGCATTGTGTACTGGATGGGACTCGCGTCTTGACCTGCCCGCCCTGCGGCTTCCCCAAAAAACATGGTCTGAGTATACATACTTGCAAAAAGTGTATACCGTTGTAGGGCTTGTACATACCTGGTATATTCATGCGCAAGTGTGTTCCCCGTGTGCACGCATATGCATATTTGCATGAATGACTGTAGGTGTGCGTACATATAAACATGTAGTAGTAACGTGCACGGGCGTACGCACGCACGCATACGCTCGCACGGCCAGTCCGACCAGCACCACGTCGCCTGGGTGTCGGGGAGCGTCCTTGGCACATGGCAGGTGCCCATCGCCGTTGTCCCATTGCGGGGGCGGAGCAAGTATTCGACATCGGCGTAGCTCTCGCACTCTCCCCCCCCCCCCCCCCTCGCCCCTGCACCTCCACAATTACACAATGTGAAAATACTCTCCCACTTCCCCTGATGGCGTCCGGAAGATATTCGGCACCCCCCCGCGTACTGTTTTTTTTTTACACACAGGATTCCCCGGAGTTGGGTTTTCGCTTGTGTTTTTTTCTAAAATGCTGCTCTCGCTGAGGCGCCGGCCTCATTTCTGCTCCCGAATCGTTCCGAATCGTGCTCCCGCTCCAGCGTGGGCCTCATTTTCGGATCGGTGTTTGGCCTCCGTCGTTGAGGATGGCGTTCTCGCCCCAGCGCGGGCCTCTTTCTCGCGCGCCCATCCGCCCGCCACCACCGCGCCGCACCACCACCACCACCACCACCACCACCACCACCACCACCACCACCACCAGCACCACCACCAGCACCAGCACCACACCACACCACACCACACCACACCACACCAGCACCAGCACCACCACAACCACGCACACACGCACGCACGCACGCACGCGCACCACCACCCACTAGTTACGCACGCGCGCGCGGAGCCACAGGTCCGCTACGACACGCGTCCGCGGATAGAGAAAATCAGCGCCATGGTAAGGGATGGGGGGGGGGTGGGACGTCAGATATGACGCGAGCGCACCTAGCTTGCCCTCCACCTCTCTCCCCCTCCCATCCCACCGCGCCCCCCCCCCCCCTCCGTCCGAGCGCAGGGCGCGGGCGAGATCCTCGCGTCGGTCGCCGAGAAGGGCACGGCTGGCCTCCTGGAGCATTGGCGTTCGAAGTCCCTCGGCGGCGGCAGGAAGCAGGCGCCCGCGCCGTCCCGGGAGGCGCCCGCGTTCCTGAAGTTGGCCGAGCCGTTCGCTGGATGGCATACAGAGTGGAAGACTGGTGCTTTTTGTTTGTTTGCAATAGTTGCCGCATGTCACCATCCCATCCACCGCTCCCCGCCCTTCCTCCCCCCCTTCACCGCCCCGCTCCCGACGTTCCGCCCCCCCGCCCTTCCCCTTCTATCCCGTCCACCCCTCCCTCCTCCGTCGCCCCGTTTCCACCTTCGCACCTTTGCCCTACGTCCAGTCTTCTCCTGACTCCTAGCCCCGCGGACGCGTTCCCCCCCCCCGCGCCTGGCCTTCTCGTGTCAACTCACTCTCGCACCACCCTGCCCGCCCCCTGGCCCTCGTCGTTTCCCAGCCCCTTCCCATTCCCCCTTCGCGCCTCGCGCGCAACACTGGCGGCCATTCCGTAGCCCCGTCTTGTCGGAAATTTGCGCCCCCCCCCCCCCCCCCGCCAGCCTCTCGCACCCTTTGCGCGCCTCACCGCCCGTGCGCAGCCGCTCGGAGGTGCACGCGCCACATTGCAGGCCTTCTGCGACAAGGTGTTTTTGACGTACGCCAGCGCCGGCAGCGCCCGCGCGTCGGTGGAGCCCGTCATGCTGCCGACGCTGCGCTACCTCTCCGCAGGCTCCAGGAAGCTCGCGATGCTGAGGCTGGAGGACTTCTGCGCGGCATGCGCTAACCTATGCCTCCGTTTCGTCTTCTCTGACCTTCTCACCTTCTCCCTCTCTCTCTCTCTCTCTCTCTAGTCTCGGCTCGAGAGTGCCCTGCACTCAGACCGCAGCCGCGACGCGAAGCGCCCCGCCTCGGAGTCAGACTCCCAGGCCTCGCGAGACCGGAGGGGTCCCAGCAGGACCCTACTGATTCGCGTCACCTCTCCGCACCAGAGTGCCCGCAGCAATGGCCCCCAAGAAGCCGGAGCGCCGTCGCTCTTCAAAGCAGCCTCCGAGCTCCCGCCCCACGCGCCCTGCTGCTGAAGGGTCCCTCCTTCAACGCAAGCAGGACTGCATCGCAGCGTTCAGGCAAGCGGGGTCTGACCGCCCCACGGCCGCCTACAACGGGCTAGCCGAACTGAACGCGGACGAGCTCCAGGCAATGTACGACATGCACAAGTCCAACACGAAGAAGCTTGGCAGCGCCCTTATCCGCATGTGCGCCGCCAACCAGATTAGCTACACGCTCGATCACCACCAGCGCAGCAAGCCTAAGCGCACTGGCGGTGACACATCGCATCCACCAGCGGGCTCCGCACGTCTTCAGGCTGCGGACACCCAATTCATCGCCTTGGACCCTGCCTTTTGGAAGGTCCCTGTCCTTGCCGAACCCACCTCGCCTGACGACGGCAAGACGTACAAGCCCAGCATCAGCCTCCACGACTACGAGAGTGGTGAACGGCTGCTGCAGCACCACCTCGAGCAGGGCAAGCGAGCCACGGGTCAGCTCGCGATTGCTGTCATGGGCCCGAAAAACGACAACTACGTCGGTACCGAGCTCGCCGTCCCCGTCCTGAAGCGCCACCCCAAGGCGCCCAAAGTGGTCCACACGCACGTCCCCGTGATCGTGTACCAGCTGGGCACCAAGGAGGTCGCCTGCACGGAAAAGGTAGCCGTCGCCACCATCGACCCTGCCGACCACGTCTGCTGGATTCGGGCGACCATACACGAGACCGAGGCCATTGCCGCAGTCCCCTCCATGCACCAGGCCTTCGAGGACCAGTTCTCGGGAGGTGCCCCCGTGAACGGTGGTCCACGCGCCAAGGGCCCTTTTCGAGGCGACTCCGCTCCACAGGACAAGGCGCGCCAAAAGCACAAGGAGTCCAAGAAAGACGCTCGCCGCCAGGAGCTCGATAGCCAGCTCCAGGACACCTTCAAGGCCCTCTTCCACGGCAACTTTAAAGCCGTCACCATCCTCGAACCCTGCAAAAGCCTAGGCAGGTTTGGATCGGGCGTCGGAAAGAGGTCCCTGGCTGCCACCTTCGGCGTCAGTCTCCAAGCGGTCGACAAGGTCCTGGCGGGATCAGGGCAACTCGGTGCCACCTACGACCTCAGCAACGTAGGTGCAGACGAGCCCACCGCCGACAAGTATCAGACCGTTTGGTTCCCTGAGGACCAGCCCATCACGATGGCAGACGCGTTCCAGAAGTCGGTGGAGTTCAAGGCCCTGGGAGTCGTCAGGCACGGCAAGTCAGGCCTGCTGGGGATCCGTGTTCCGCGGGGGTCCGACGTCGCCAAGGCCGCTGCTGTCAGCATCCGCGGCTGCGAGGCTACCCTCGCCAAGACGCGCTACCGCATCACTGGCATTGCGGCACGCCACGCCACGCTGACCCAGCTCGCCAAGACTCTCACGGGCCCGTCCGTTAAATGGGACTGTGAGGTCTACCACACCGCCTGGGACCCAGCCACTGCGGCCCAGTTTGCCTTAGTGCGCGCTCATCGGCCCCCACTCACCTATACGGTGCAGGTCGCGGGGTGCCCCATCCCGTGGAGCATCACCGAGGCCCCGCTGGCTGAGGTGGCGCCGAAGCGGGACAACGTTACCATCGTCACGCCTACCACCATCACAGAGCCTGTGACGCCGCCAGCCGGTGGTGGCGGCTTTAGCCCCGCCACCGGCACACTCCTCACCAAAGCGGCCCAGAGCCCCTACCTCCACGACCTCATGACTGCCACGCCCAAAGGCAAGGGCGTCGCACCGCTCCTGACCCCCAAGGAGGAGCCTTCAGCCAAGCGCCACCGCTCCTCCAGCGGGAAACGTGACGCCACGCCGCACGCAAGGCCACCCTGCGCCCCAGGCCGCAGCTCCTCTGCGCCCCCGCACGGCACGGACGGAGCCGCTGAACCGACGGCCGCCCCAGGACCAGGTGGCCACGACCCCTGGCTTGGCACGGCGGCGGCAGAAGGTGGGGGCCACACCGAAGGCGACGCTGCCACAGCCGCCGAAGTACCAGGTGACGTCGTCGACGTCGAGATCCTCTCATCAGGTGATGAATACAGCGTGGCCTCCCACGAACTCAACACCTTCGGCGAGCGCTTCGCATCGGCCTCTAAACCGCCCGATGCTGCCACGACCCGCATCCAGCACATGGAACAGCAGCACGAGCTGCTAGCCAACACGGTGGATAACATGCAGGTGCAGCTTGCGGGCGTTCTCTCCTCCCAGGCCACACTCACGGAGCACGTTTCAGGGCTGGAACGGGGGCTTGCCACCGTCGTCACCCAGCAACAGACGGCAACCGCCGACGCCGCTGCACTGCGCGGCGACATCCAGACCCTCCTCGGGCACCTCACGGGAGGCACCATCCACCTGCCACAAGCGGCCACTCTGGAAACTAAGAAGGAGGAAGCCGCAGCGGCCGCCGAGCCCGCGGCAGCCTGCAGTTTGACCGACCAGCCAGGCCAGGCCACCCCAGGGACGGGGCCCCCAGGGGCCGACAAAGGCAAGGACAAGGGTCGGGCCACCCAGGAACCCTATTGAAGGTGCCTCAGAGAGCCCGCCTCAGCCCTCCGAGGAAGCGCCTTCAGAGGCATCGCTCCCCTCTTCGCGTCGTATCTCTTTCTTGTTACCTCATGTCTGTTTTGGCAGCAGCACGCGCAAGCTATCTGGTGTAGGGACACCCGTAGTCTTGCAGGGGGCGTGATTGTAGCAATGTACATGAGCATTCAGGGGTATTTGAGGACGTGTGCTGCCACGCAGCTTTCGGCTCATCGCTCGCGCCGCCCGCCAGGCCTCGCCATCATGTGGCGCCTTGCCTGCGGCCTGGCCCTCCCCTCGCTGGCTGGAGCACACCCGTCTTCAGGCGGTGCGCCCCAGCACGGAGGAGAGGCTTTCCTGCGACATGCGGAGCGTGGGACGCTCTTCTACCTTTACGATGACAGCATCTACAAATACGATCACAGCGCCATTTTGGACCCGATCGTGAACAGCACCGCCGCCGCTGGTCCGTGCGGCACCGGGCCGCTGGGCGCCCCCGCGAGCGCCTGGCCTGAGCAGCACCAGGGGCCCCGCCCCACGCGCTGCCCCCCTGGGACTTCGACGGCTACTACGACGTCTACGACGAGTACCAGCATGTCTCCTACGAGCACGCCCTCGTCAACTACGACACATGCATCGCAGTCGACCACCGATGTTGCCGCAGCTGAGATGACTCCTGCGTCCTCCGGCCACGCCTCGCACCGCATGCAAGTTCAGCTACGAGGGCTACCATCACTCAACATGACGCTTGCGGTCGACTGTCGTACAGCATATCCTCGATGGTACCCTGTTCTCAGCTTGTCCTCGACCGTCGTGCAGCATATCCTCGACAGGGCCGCTGGCAAGGCCCAGGCACGCAGTGGCGGCTTCAGCCCCGCTGTCGTGCCCCGCTTCAGCCCCACGAGTCCCACTACCCCTCTGTGCGCCAGGGGTGAACCCGAGGAGGACCCCGCTTTCTGGCACCTGATGAACATCCGAGCACGGCTCATACCGTGCGCCGCGGCGTGGGCACCAGGTGAGGACCATCAGGACGTGTGCTGGGCATGGCTCGAGGACTGCGTCCCGCATGTCCTGGCGACGCTCCATCTGCCACAGTACGACCACTTTTTCCAGGAGGACTCCGCGGAGAAAAACGACGCCCTGCGCCACCGCACCGCTTTCGACATGTGCGAGGATATCTGGCACAGAGCGGGCCCCGACAGACAGCGCACCAACCGCAACCTCACTCGTGTCCAGGGCAGCCACGAGTACCACACCCGCTACTTTGGCCTCCTTCTGGAATACCAGGGCGCTCGTGCCCAGCTCGTCGGCCCTGAGGCTTTCGCGGCACCACTGCCGCCATACCTCTCACGGGCCCACGCCTTGCTGCCAAGAGGCCTCCCTCCGCCCGACCAAGACGCCCTGGCGTATCTCGCGGATGCGATCCTGCACCACCCGCCAGACCTGCAGCCGCTTGTCGAGGCGGAGCTCGCCGCGGCACCGATGGAACCGCTAAACCTACCACCGCCAGCTGGCCCCCTCGCCCAGAACGCCACGTGTGACCAGCCCGCGGCCGACGCCGAACCGCTTCTGCTCCAGCACACCGCTGCCAGCGATATCAGCAACATATCCCTGGACTCGTTCCACGTGTCGGACGATAGCCAGAACGACTCCATCCACGACACGGAAACCCAGGACCTCGACGGCACGACACCGCCAGGTGACACGGCCCAGCGCGACCGTGACAGCGAACCCTACACAGGGCGCCCCCTGTCGCACAGCAGTGCGCCCATCAACTCGGCCCAGGCCGACCCCAGCGCACAGCTCAGCGACGCCGAAGGCGCCACCGCCGCCGACGAGACAAGCCATTCCACTGCACTGCCAGCTCTCACCAGCCCGCGCAGTGGCGGCTTCAGCCCCGCTGCAGCATTGGCTGGATCTGGGCGTCTTCAGACCTCAGGTGGCAGGACCCCGCCCCGCACCCTTGTCTGCCGAGCTAACGCGACTGACTCCAACTCCAGCGCCGTCGACCACTGGCAGGCTGGCATCGACAATGATCCCATCGAGGACGCGAGCCCCGACGCCAGCGGCTCCTACGAGGCCCCGCACAGCGCAGCGGCCTCCCGACGCTGCGGCTGTCTCATCTGCCTCTTCGTGGCCACGTATGCCATCGTGGTAGCCATGCCGTACAAGGACCAGATCGACGGGT